TCCTATTTTCTCTCTACAGTAGCATGTTGAAAGATGCACTCCAATATGGCAGAACATTTAGTTGAGCTGAAAGCAATGGCTCCGTATGAAAGTCTACACACTTTTGTCTCCTCTTAAATTTAAACCTTGATTGATAGTTTCTTTTTCCTTGCTATTGCAACCCTGATACGGGTGTGATACTTGTGACCAGGAGAAGAGCTCCAAACTGCTAATGTGAACTCCGACAGGAATACAGAATCTCTTCTGGCTTTAACACTGTAAACTATTTCTTTAACTCTTAGAGCGACCAGGAACAGTCACAACCACCACCAGCTACCCTTGAGGGTACCAGTGAGTCAGGCCAATCCTGCCATTATTGGTCTGATCTATAGTCCCCACCCACTGATCTGGAAATCTCTCTTGAAGTTATTTTTGATTCTTTCAGAAAACAAAAGACACTAAGACATTGCTGCCGAATGGAATTAATTGATCTGTTGATTTAACACTAATGCCTACCCAAATAATTTCAACAGTTATTTAGGCAAAGTAGATCAGTTACTATTTGTTTCCCATCCAACCAGGTCAAAGCTTTTCCTGTAAGAGAGCAGTTGGATGTTGGCTCGGCACCCGCGTAGCTCACTGGTTAGGGCGCTGGCCACATATACTGGGGCTGGCAGGTTTGAACCCGGCCCAGGCCTGCCAAACAACAATGACAACTACAACAACAACAAAAAAATAGTTGGGTGTTGTGGTGGGTACCTGTAGTCCCAGCTACTTGGGAGGCTGAGGCAAGACAATCTCTTAAGCCCAAGAGTTTGAGATCACTGAGCTATGATGCCATGGCACTCTACTGAGGGCCACATAGTGAGACTCTGTCTCAAAAAAAAAAAAACAAACAGGAGGATGTTCATTCTTCCATAAGGCAGTATTTTCTATATCAGGCCAGTTTTGAGAGCAGTCATTAAATTGAATACAAATTGACCTCTCTACAACTGTGTTCTTTAGTCCTGATTCTGTTCTCTGGAGCTACACAGGCAAGTCTGAGCGCTGGCAGCTATAATGTTTCACTTTAATTATTTTCCCCTCTTTAATCTCCTATCCAGTCCCCGTACCACTCAGGTGACAGAGTCTAGATTGTTGATTCTTGTTTGAAGATGTGTAGAGAGGAACAACAAACAGACAGCCACACAGAGGAAACAAGAAAGAGTCTTGTCAGCTGGGTGTGGTGGCTCACGCTTGTAATCCTAACACTACGGGAAGCCAAGGTGAGTAGACTGCCTGTGCGCAGGGGTTCGAGACCAGCCTGAGTAAAGCAAAACCCTGTTGCTACAAATATAAAAACAAAACAAAACTAGCCAGGCATTGTGGCAGGCGCCTGTAGTCCCAGCTACCTGGGAGGCTGAGACAAGACTATCTCTGGAGCCTGAGAGTTTGAGGTTGCTGTGAGCTATGATGCTACAGGACTCTGTCCAGGGTGACTGAGTGAGATTCTGTCTTTAAAAAAAAAAAGTGTCTGAGATGTGTTTTAGAAAAGTGCTTTTTGGGATATTATTGCAGGGAATGGTTACTTGAATGTTCCCATCTCCACTGAGACCAAAAAAGAAAGCAATGGTGGGTTGAAGGCACCATGTTCTCATCTGTAGAGGTTAACAAAGGGCTCTAGGGTTCTGCACTATGAGTTCTCAGAGCCCCTTACTGTATCCCCGAGAAGGGAACCAGTACTTGACCACAGAACTCTCTTTTTCATGGGGCACTTTATGGATACTAATGTTTTGTGAGACACATTATAGGAAATTATGGTTTCAGATTTGCTGTGGAGACTTAGACTAGACAATTGAAATAATTTCCTGATTGATTACTGTAGGATTCTGGAGCTGATGGCCAAGGAAGACTGTGAAGTTTCCTTCCTCTGAGGGTTGGTAGAATTCTCCTCCTTCTCCCCTCCTCCTCTGCCATCTTCCCCTGCCTTTAATATTAGCCTTAGACACCCACCTGCCTGGGAGTGTTGAGGTACAGGCCTGTAACTCAGGGAATCTGGGATTGTGGATCTTTCCCATCCCCTTGGTTCTATTTTTATGAATCCCAGTTGTGGTAGAGTTGCATAGAGTTACACGGAAGGCACAGCCTAACTGGGACAGGAGGTAACTGAGAGTTTTGGCCAAGAGGAGAGGGGGCTAGAGATGGGAAAAGTTGATGCAATTATTTTTGGCAGGAGTTGGAACCAAAGCATCAGGAGAGAGTAAGTTTTAAGACTCTCTGGCAAAGTAACTTCCTAATCTGTCACTGAGTATGTGTAAAAAAGTGATTAGTGGGTCTCTATATTTATCATGATTACTCACAAATATGTAATTTACATAATATATACAGCACATTAAGTACTATGTCACCTTATATAATGTGCATATGTATAATGTATATGCATGTTATGTAACGCCAGTCTGGAGGCTCTTCCAAGTTCTGCCAAGTATTTCCTAATTTATTTGGCAATTTTAACGTATCTTTTCCATCTGTGGAAAGAACTCTCTTGAGAGGAGCTAGTGCCTGACCTGAATATAATCATCCTGCTTAGTCTATCTCCACTCTCAACTCACTGGGGAAACCCCACAAAGACCAAGCCATAATGAGATGCAACTCCTAGCCCATCAGTTCAGGGACAACACAAAGTACTGAAGATTTCCTGTTTTATTGTTTTTATTGCTGGTGGGATAGAAGTGTGGGGGCAAGTGAGAACATGTCTGTAGCATGGTCAGAATCAGAATAAAACAAGAAATAAGGGATTGGGTTTTCTCTTGACTGTGTGTCTTCGAGGAGTCAGTAAGCCTTATTAATCCTTGTTCTCATGAAGATTGAGATAATAGTACTTTCTCTGCTAACCTCAGAGGTTGCTGTGAGGGTCAGTAGGGTAGAGTACTCTACAGTAAGAAACCACAGTCACAGTGTTTCAAGGGTGATTTGTAAGGTAAGGTTAAATAACACAAGACTTACTAAGGTTACCAAGTCATAAGTACATTTCCATGGAAGTTTGTTACACTCTGTGCTTCTACTAAGGAGGACTTGGGATTTGTCTCTCAAATGACATTGCAAGTCTTGTGCACTAGGATAGAGCAGGTAAGGCCAGTCTCTGCAGGCCCCTTTGTGAGACTTGTGAGGCTCTGAGAATCAATTTCATCTGTTGAGAGTGCCATGTCTCAACAGCCTCAATCTTGGGGGAGCAGGACTGAAACACATGCAAAAACTTTTCTGTATGTGTCTTAGAACCAGTGACTCCCAACCCCTAACTTGCCTCTGTTTCAGAATCTAGTTGTTTCCAAGATAGTACCTGTAGTTATTCTGGAGCTCGTTGGTCCCATTACCAAGGATCCCGTATGAAGGGATATTCTTTAGGTGGTCTGGTTTTCTCCTTGCCTGACATTCTGCACTGTGAAGTTGAGCCAATGGTGCTAGATCTTGGTCCTAGATGGTCCAAGATGATTGCTTCCTTCAGAGTTAGGCTCAATCTGTACATATAATCTGATGTTCCCTTTCTTGTTCAAAGGAGATTAGAGGCAGCTCAGTGGAGTGATAGCAAGTGAGCCCAATTTTCCTCTTGAGCAATCTCAGAGAAGGATGAAGTCCCAATGAATCTCTGCACAGACTTGCCCTTGGGAAAGGAGGGTAACACTGGTGCAAACTGAATGAAGCCCGCTGAGCTCTGCTGAGACCCCTCTGTCCTGGCTGGCAGTTCCTTGCAAAGGTGACGTGGTCCTCCTTGTGACTCCCCACTGAGGTCATCCCTGTAGCCAGAGGAGTTTCCCAACTAAGAGACTATGCTGACCATGATGAGGTCACATGTGCAGAGTTATATCTGATGATCTGTCTACTGTCTTCAACCTCAGGTCAACTTCTTTCTACTTCAGGCCACACCACACCTCCAGGAAGCATCAGGAAGCCCTTGTTTTTTTGTGTGGGCTTGTCCCAACCATGCACATGCTGCTTTACTAGTTTTCCCCTGGTAAACTGGATCCGAGTGGAATCATGACCCTATTCTGAGATGTGTGGGCTCTTCTATCTATTAGATATCTTCTTAGTAGCACCTACTCTCAACCCCCAATACCGAGACACCATAGACAAGTCTCTCAACTTTCCTGAGGCTCAGTTTCATCATCTGACAAGTGGGAAGGTAAATCTTGCCTAGCATAACATGGTTGTTCAGAGGATCCAGAATAGGCGTTCTCAGCGTCTTCATGATAGGGAGCTACTTCTGTTTCTTTTAAACTTCATGATCACCACATGGCAATGTGTCTTGACAATGAACCAGTGGAGTGGGGGAGGAAGGAGCTTCTTTTTCTTTCTCACTTTCTGTCCCCATACTACCTATGTTTTTTTCCAACTGGGAAAAGTCCATCCGTAAATAAATATTTATATATATAAATATATATGCTACAGATATATACACATGTAAGACTACCAGCAGGTCCTTCAGGTCATACTCTGGGAATGGTAAGTGCAAAGAAGCAGGAGGGAACCGCCCGGTGGTTTGTCTCCTGGTTTTCCCAGCAAAATTCCTTCCCTCCCATCTTCTCTGCCTTCAGGAATAGTCTGCCACCAGGGCTTGGAACTCAAACAGGAAACACGCTTTGGCTTGAAAAAGAAAGAAGCTGGGGGTGTTTTTTTTTTCTTCCCTTTTTACACAATATTATGACACCAATTTGAAAAATAAATCCCCGTTTCTCTGCTTTCCCTCCCAGGTGTTCACAGAACTAAGAAAATAAATACCACATCTAAGGTGCACTGCACAGGCAGCTCTGGGGGCTCTTGGAGCCACCTCTAAACAAACACACAGTCGCCAGGAGGAGGCTTCAGGAAAATAAGTGCCCACTGACAGCGCAGGGAACCGAGAATGGAAACACAGCTTTCCACGGCCTTTCTGCCTCCTCAGCAAGTTCAGGGAGAAGTTGTCGCTCAGAGGACAACTCTGAAACAAAACCAACGTGCGCCTGCTGAGCCCTGCCCAGGAGTCTGCTCCGGAGCCATGGGCTGTTTGTCTCCGTACAGAAGGACCTTTGTGCAAGTTCCCTGGAACTGAAGCCCTTTCCCTCAGCCACATCCGACCTCACTTTAGGCAGGAAACCTGCAGCCTGCTCCTCGCAAGTGTCCATAAGGGAACTTGCAGGGATAGTGGAAAGGAGGGGGATAGCTCCCTCAGCCCCAGAAAGTCCTCCTCAGGACCTGTGGGAACGTGAACTTGCCACAAGAGCTAACCCCACCCTCGTGGGCCTGAAGATCATTCCAAATGTTATGTTGGCCCTGGCTCTGTTAGGGTGTATCTGTTACTGAAATAGGTAGGACGTGGGGCAAGGTGAAGTTTTCTTCCTGAAGGGTGGCTTCGCTTCCACTGGTTGGAGAAGAGTGTGTGTGTGTGTGCACATAAATGTGTGTGTGTGAGTGTGTAGTTACAGTTTCCTGCTTGGGCTCTTGGCTTAGCTGGCGTTGGCTGGTTAGTCTTTTGAGCGGCTCTTTCTCCTCAATGAAAAGAAGCTGCTCTTCTGGGGAGGCCCCATCATCATGGGAGCTTGGTTCTTGTGAGTAATTTTAATCTGAAGGCAAAGAGGAAGAAATGAATTAGTGCCATGCAAATCTCAGTAGCCAAATGTAGGATAGAGCATAGGGTTAAAAGTGCTAGGCTCTAGGGACAGAGTAATCTTGACAAAATCCAAGCTTCACAGCTGATCATGAGTACTGAAAACAATACTGACTAGACTCAGCACACTGTCCCGGCCCTAAGTCATATTCAGCGGTGATAAGAAAAAGGGAAGAGAAAAGGGCAGCAAACAGAATGGGTTAAGAGTTAAACCATACAGTTAAAGAAAACTCCTTTTTTTTTGAGACAGAGTCTCAGTGTGTTGCCCTTGGTAGAGTGCCGTGGTGTCACAACTCACAGCAACCTCAACCTGTTGGGCTTAAGTAATTCTCTTGCCTTAGCCTCCCAAGTAGCTGGGAGTATAGGTGCCTGCCATAAAACTTGGCTATTTTGTTGTTGTTGTTGCAGTTGTCATTGTTGTTTAGTTGGCCTGGGCTGGGTTTGAACGTACCAGCCTGGGTGTATGTGGCCAGCACCGTAACCACTGTACTATAGGCACCAAGCCAAACAACTCCTTGTTTTTTAACCTTGACTCTCTCTTTGAAGCTTGCCATGGTGCTATATTTTCTCATACAGCATGAGATTTCAATAAAGGCCTGTGAGGATGGTTGGGAGGGGCCACACCCTTGTCTCTCTGTATGAAGGGCTTGGGGTGTTGGCCTCCGAGAGTCCTTCAATTCATTGCAAAATGGACTGAATGAGTAGGTGTTATTATTTTTGCGTCAAGATGCACTGATAGCTGAAGGGAAAGTCCCAGAGAAAAGAAAGAGGGCCAGCTTTGGACTGGAAGGAGCACCATGCAAAAGGACAAATGTCTTTGAACAGCTTCAAAATTGGCAACCCAACCCTGACTGGGCCTGGAGTTTGGCACTGCTGGAAGTGAGGGGCAGAAACACTGGGGAGAGAGACAGGTGTGAGCTTCCCATGTGGTGATCAGCTCACCGCTGTCTTGTGTCCTTGCTATTCATAGACTCTCAGAATGTCACAGACAGAGGAGGCCTCAGGTCCTTCTCATTCAAACTCTTTGCAGGATGGATAAAGGAAGTGGAGTCTAAGGCTCCAAAGGACCTTCATCCAGCTTAAGCTTACACAGAGAGGGCAGAACAGCTAGAGCCCAGACCCTCAGATTCCCAGCCTCCATTGCTCCTGGCCAGTCCTTTCCAGGCAGTGCAGGGATGTCAGCCAACTGACTGGAGCCTTTAGTCGACCTTGCACTAGGTAACTCCATGTGGAGAGTTCCCAAGTAAGTTCCTTAGATGTTTCTTCTTTTCTTAGTCTTTCAGGGAAGACTTCAATTTCTTTTAAAAGCTTTTTTTTTTTTTTTTTAAATTTTAGGTTTTATAAATGTTTTCTCCTATAAACTTTAAGTTAATTGAAAAACACTGACAAAATTGCATTTTTGCCTTTCTCAGGCCGTGGCTTCAAAATGCTTAATCTCTATCTGAATGTGGCCTAGTGACACTGTGACCTTAATAATCTACAGTATCAGTCCACCCACAATCTCTATCAAGTACAACACATGTTCAGAGTAGGAAGATGACATGGCAATGGTTAAACACTTAGGATTCAAAGACCTGGGTTTGGGTCCTGACACCTCCTCTTCTTTGCTGTGAAACTTTGGATGAATCATTTAACCTCCAGAGCCAGTGATGGCTGAACTGTAAAATGAAGTTGATAGCCTTTGTCATATTTTTCTTGCAAAGATCAAATGATATACTGTCAACAAAAGGTCACTGTGCACTGTAAAATGGGAAGTAACAGTTAAGTGCTTGTCTTATACTGGAGGAGAGAGAGCAAGATGGATGTGAACCCATTCTCGTGGTTTCTGTGTTACTGGAAAGGACAGTGTGACCACAGAGAACAACAGACGAACTCTTGAAGAGAGAGACCCACCCCCAAGTTTAAATAAATGTGGGATAAACCTGGTGATATTAAAAAGGTATATAAGGAACGAGAGGAGTCCAATGGAAGAAGTGAAAGATTTGAAGGAAGAGAAGGCAACGTTCTGGTAAAAAGAGAGAGAGAAGGGACCGGGGTGAGGAGATGTGGAAGAACAAGTCGAGCAGGGCAAAGGGCGAGAAACGTGGTCAGGTTGGGACAGCTGGTGCGGGCTTTGAGGGGAGATGCTAAGGCCGGGTTCGTGTGAAGTAACGAGGAACCTTGAGAGACGGCCGTCCACACTGGAGAATAACACAACAAGAAAAAGGACTTGAGGGAAGTTGTTCAACAGCTGTCATCAGCGTGAACTGGAGTGGGGTGTCTGGCTAACAAGCCAAGTTTACGTTTCTAAGTCTCCAAGAAACGGACGGACATCGTGGACAATTAGCATAACCTCGTGATGAGAGCGGAAAATGACCCTCCTGCGGCATTCTGCCAGCCTGGGGATGGAGAAGCTAGGTCAGTCTTTCTAGTCACACGAGGAACAAGCCGAGGATATGTCCGACACCAATCTGTGCTGTGTGTTTTTCTGTGGGTGTTGTTTATTCCAGAATTCATGGAAGTGAGGCACAGCTTGCAGTCTCTGACAGCATTTATCTGCGACATGCAATTTGGCATTGTGATGGTATTAATAGAGATTTGTGGTACATTCCCTTGTGATAAGCCTCCTCTCACTCCTGAGCTCATGTGGGAGCTCTCCCTTCGGTTTATTCACCACGATATTCCCTTCTCAGAGCACGGCCTGTACACGTGCTGACTGAGGCTTACACCCGAGAAGAAAGAGAGCACCTCTGGGCCATGGACATGGCTGGGTTTGGGCCAGCGCCTACGATTTCTGCTAGTAGAGCCCATTTCTTTAGGACAGTAGAAGACCTTTGCTTCTCATTTTTCTCCCTTCAGCTGAGCTATTTATTTGCTTGTTAGCACCTCTAGGGCAAAGAGGAGGAAGTGAAACTCAAATCACTTTAGTTTGTTTCTTCAGCATTTCTGACCTAGGTCTTGATAGGGGAGGAGTTTGGGGATCTTGGGTAACAGGACATGTTGGTCAGCTTTGTGGATTCTATTACTCCGGATAACTGAGTGAAGCATGAGATCATATCCTCTTTTCTAGGCAAAGAGATGTCAGTCTCTTACCTCCAAATTAGGGGGCTAGCGGGTAAGACAGTTAAGATCCTATTTTAGAAAGTAGCTGGATGTGGCTAAACCCACCTTTTCCACCCATGATTGAGTATCACACATTTCTGTAGTTAAAGCCTACACTTTTTTGGTAATTGAGTAAGTCAGATAATTAACTGGTTGATTTTCTTAGAAACCATTCATAACACAACACCTGACAGGCCGGAAGGGGGACTACAGCCCCAGGTTAGTTTTCTGCTCTATTACAAAGAGAAATTGATACAGCGGACTCTTGCATGATGCAGTAGACTCTGAATTCACAAAACTATTGCTACTTTAAAATAGAAAAAAAATTTAAATTTCACTAGTGCTGGGGGTGGACTTTGTTTGCGGGGGCATTACCCATAAATCGACACATTTTTACTACTTCAAGAGAAGCAATAAACTAAGGGACTCTTTCCCGATCGTTGCCCTCTGAGGGAGAATGATTCAGAGAATGCCTAGGAAAATAGCCAATAACTTTAAGTGTGGACCCTTCTCACACCATCTGGGAAGTATCTTAGGTCTACCCTAATTTTAACTGGAAGTAAACAAAAAGGCACAAACCTGAAGGGCCTAAAATCTTCTCTGTAATATTTTTAAAAGGTAAGGAAATAGTCCAGCTTGGTGTGAGGTTCAGGAAGGAGGGACGGTTTGCACACTCTCCAGGTCTTCCTTGTTTTCTGGGCTGAGATCTTCGTGAGAGTGTTTCCTGCCATCAGAGGCCTTCAATTGTAACTGGACAATCAGGTTTCCCAAGGGATGGAGAAGAAGTGTAGGGCTTACTGACCAACACTGAAGTTTGACTAGATTATTGATTCTCAAACCATGGTTCCAAGACCAGCACTGGCATCACCTTGGAACTTGTTAGAAAACGCCAATTCTCAGGCATTTAGATCTGCTGAATCAGAATATTAGCATCTCCCCTCAAAGCCCCTCTGGGATGTGGCCCGGAAATCTGTGTTTTAAACCCCTCTAGGTTATTTGGATGTATACGTGAGTTTGAGAATAACTGGACTACATAACTTGCATGATTTTCGTCTTTGAGATTCTATTATCATCTGACTCTGGGAGAAGATTCCAAATTTCGAGGCTCGAATTATGGAACCTAACTGTGATGGAAGCATGAGAGTGCTGCTACCATGAGAGATGTTTTTGTAATAAATATACATTTTATATACCTATATTTCTATGCATAAACAAATATGTTTTCATTTTTAAGAATTTTAAAAATACAGAAAATCTAAATCTAACAATCACAGAGAGGTAATGACTGTTAAACATTTCGGTATACTGTTTTGTTTCCATGCTTATATATGTTTCTAATCAAGTTGGAATCATCATCTTAATCAGCTGTGTTCATTTGCTATTTCACAAGCATTTTTGATATCATTAAATATTTATTAACTATGATTTTGAGTGGCTAAAAATGACTCCATATGATGAATCTCACCTAGCTCCCTGAAAACTTTCCCTAAATGTTAAGCTTTTAGGTAATTTCCAATGTTTGCCTATGAGGAATGATAGAAATTGGCATTCTTATAAGTCAATCTCCAGGTTTTTGATAATCTGTATTTTACTTACAATTAATTCGTAGAGTTATATGAACAAATTTTAAGGGGGGAAAGTAAATGAACTAGATCAATGTATATCAATATTTGTAGGAGTTCCTAACACGTGGCTTTTGAGGCTTTCCAGAATGGCTGTATCTGTCTATACTCCTGCTTCATTGTCCAAGTGCTTTGACCTCAACACACACTCGACAGCTATGAATATTATCTTAAGACAAATAAACAAACAAAAATATTGTGCTAATTGGTAAATAAACTATGGTGTGGCTTTTGTACTCCATTAATTTGAAAA